ATCCGAATCGTATACGTTGCGTACAAAGAGGGACGAAAAAAAAGGCAAAAATGGCAAAATTGAAACTTTTTAATGAAATTCCTTTGCGCAACAAACGTAAAAACAAAACTCGTGAGCTCGCAGCCGGTTCGCTCGCGTGGATTATTTCAAAATAACCAATACGAAAAAGGAGTCGCTCCTTCGCAAGGGCTTATCGAGTTGCACATTGAAAAAAAAATGCACACGTGTAAATTTAAAAAAATGCACAAATGCACAAATGCACAAATGCACAAATGCACAACTTTGCGCAAGCATAAATCATGTAATTACGCGCTGGAAAAAGAAAAACTTTAATTGCCATCGTCTCTCTCTCTATCTCGATTCGCTCGTTTTCACGCTGCACGAGCTCGATATCAAAGTTTATAATTATACGTTCACGTCGAATAAGTTTGTATATTCATAATTTTTATTTTCCAATTGATGCCGGCGCTTCGCGCAACAATAAAAGTTAACGAAGCAGCAGTAGCGGCTGCGACCTTTGAACGACCATAAGCTCGACTCGTACTACTCGTAATGCATTCGAACCAGTGCAAAACTGAAGATTCGCGTTATCGTTGCGCTTTAATGAATGTTATTGTAAAATTATCGGAAACATGCCCGTAACAATTTATAAAAACTTTACGAATGTCAATGCTATATATTTATCATTCGTTCAACCTTATCGATCGATAAATCCTCGTCACGAGCGTAACAATTAACGTTTGAATATTCTCCAAAGAAATAAAGCTCGATTATTGTTTTCGCGATATTTCACCTATTCAAAGGATGAAATAATTCGTGAAATACCACGAAACACAAAGCGTAAACTCGCATGAATAAGTAGTCAAGATAACCTTGACAAAATGGACAAATGGACTGTATGTGCGTGTGTATACGTGTGTGCAGATACGAAAATCGCGCGAGCTCATAATATCTCGATCTTTGCGTTCGACGTTCTCGTCGCATTAATTTCGCGAAACTTTGTCGAATAAATATACCGCCAGAGTTGTGCTTCGGAGAATTATACGACTTTGTGTATTATGCGTGCGTGAGCTCCCCGCGGCTTCGAGGGGAGATGAGAAATTATAAATAAAAAAAAATAATAAATATAAAAGGGTTTCAAACTAAATATACGATCGGTCGCATAAATCGCGCGACACCGCACTAACTTACGTACTATACATCACAAAATATTTATAGAATTATAGAAGTCGCATTCATCATTTTCCACGCGACCTTCTATGCATGTAATGCGTATCGCAGATCGAATCGTAAAAGCACGAGAGAAACCTTGGTCCGAGTTGCATCCTGATGGGCGCAGGATAAAAAGTATAATGTACGTATACGCGACGCAACACAATGCGCTTATACGACGCGCGTTATTGCGTCTACACACGTATATAGGAGCGCGTCGAGTACCGTAGGCGGATATATATAGCAATTATCCATGCACGCGTGTCTAGACGAAATAACGAGTTCTGCGAGAAAGAGAAAAAAAAAATTTTGCCTCTGCGTGGAATTGCCATTCGAACATCACCCCCTTTCGCGCGAGACCTCGTGGATTACAGCTTCGCGCGCGCGTGTGTGTGTAGTGTGTACTTGTGGATCGACGAGCGAGTTTTCTTCTTTTTCATTTTTCTTTTTTTCGTCGAGAGAGAAAGAAAAAGAGTACGTAACATTGACCGGAAAATGTGGACGCCACGGGCGATGAATTTTTATTTTATCTTTTCTGTTTCGTTCTGCCTCGTTTCGCGACTGGACGATGCATTCGAAAAAAAAGAGCGGATGCTGCATCGTCCAAGTTATTGTGATCGATAATGCAGAAAAGGTAAATACGACGATTCGAGACGCTCTTGTTTGCGAGTAATCAGATAAATTAGTTATACTTGGCGGCGAATTTTCTTTGAATCAACAAGTATAAGTAGTCGTTCGTAAGTACACAATACATTACCGCTCTCGACATCTGGGCCCTCTATAGGTTCAATGATAACAACGCAACGCGGTTCGCAATCGATAAACCAATAAACGGGGCGATTCCGGAACAAATAATAAGAAGAGAAAAAAAAATAGAATTGGAGAAATCACGCTGGATGCGCTTAATTAATGAGCCAAAGCTCGTCAACTCTGCTCCGTTCTCTCGATGAAAATTTAAATGAGCGGAGTTGGCGTTATTCCCGAAACGTTTATCATTAATTATGCAATTAATTAGACTCGACATTTTTTTTCCCCCTTTCCTCTTTTTAATGGCAAAAGTTTTTAACCACTGGCACGAGAAAGTAGGTCGGATTAGGATGCGAAATAATAATAATAATAATAACGACGATGATGTAAACGTTATCAATTCAATCCTCGACCTGCTATTTCTAAACTTTTACAAAAATATATCTCACCGAGGCGCGTACGTATACCCTTCAAAAGAACGAGCGATAACCATACGTTTTCGTTACATTACGCGCGTCTACACAGCTTTTACACATCCCTAATGTAAAAGCTCCCCCCCCCCCCCCCCCCCCCCCTTAAAACTNCCCCCCCCCCCCCTCCCACCTTTTTCGCAGTCTTCAATTTCAGCTAAAGCAGGGCGCGTGCTGCGGTGCGGTTGTGTTGCTTTTCGACGCAAATACTGGTTCATTGTATCTCCCGCGAGCGAATCTCGACGCCGTCCCACAACGAGCGTCATCATCAACGAGCCTCGCCGCCTAGTCCCTGGGTGTTAACGCGCAAAAACACTTTCCCGTTTGCGGGAAAATTACTTTTTTACGCTTTGTGCGCGTGTAAGCACGGTGCGCGCGGCTCGTCGTGTATACATTAACGTATCGTAGTACGATCTCTCGTGATGCATATTTTTTTTTTCACTTTACGCCCAGCTGCTTCTCGTCAGTCTCAAAGTCGCGATTATTGTATTTCCTCGAACGTTATGTATACGTAGCAATCGGTGCTACGCGCCATTGGCCGCAGTAGTACTGAAACGTGCCGAGACTAATTTCTCATTCAGCCGGACGTTTTGCATTATAATATACGTTGGCGGCGTAACGAACGCGACTCTCGAAGCTCCGAGCGAATAATATAAAAAATGAGGGAAGTATTGTTAATTCATATAGCGACTCGGCGATGTCACGATGTCAGTACATCTCGAAGGAGGAGAAGGGGGATAAAACTTAGTTCGAGGGAGAGTAACTTTTCCCGGCTGTATTATATATTTTTAAGCGAAGGAGAGAGAGCAAGAGCTATGCTATAGCGCATTTACATTTTCATAATGGAGAGACTTTCTTATAAATATATAGGCGGCCGTCGGAAAATTTGGATGGATGTAAAACCGGAAAATTTCATTTCGTCATAATATCCCTTGTTATAAACGCGGGGTAGGTATATGTAGGAGGTAGAAGAAGACGAAGAAGGAAGAGAAAAAAAAAACTTTTTCGGACAAAATGGTGCACTCTGCGATATTAGCCGCGCCGTGCTGGTATAAAAGCTCCCGATATATACGTTATATACGGTCCTTTTAAGCCCCTTGTATATTCGTGGTTCGCGATACACGTTGTCGTTGCTTTGATGTGAATTTATATATAATACGCATCTCTGTGTACCTCGAAATCCTTTTAATTTCGATTCGAGAAAAAAATCTACTTTTACCGTTAGCCGGCTGGTTTTCTACTCATAGTCACGTATAACACACGGAAATATATATGTACCTCGAGTTGCAAAAATTTTTTAACCATTTTATTCCCCGTCGACTCTGTACGACAACAAGCCGACGATCGAGAGGAGTAGCATATAGGCATGAGCCGCTCCGGTGTGCGCTCATTCGACGATTATACATACAAACGCAGCTCGGTGCCAAGTCAGTTATTTCCACGGATTTGGCCGCAAAATTGTATATAATGGCCCCGACGCGGGGGTAATGCTGCCGCGCAAGCTGTTGCAAGACTGATTTAACGCTGTCAAATATTTAGCGGGAAACAAATATATTTCCTCGCTCGTCGCAGCGCGTACATATAGTGAGCTGGAGCTGCTGTTGCTGATGCTGCTGCGGATGTAGTTTTAGGTATACGCGATAAATATTTTTATACCAAGTGCCCACGAGGGTACGACAAATAATTCCTTGTCGCGAGCAGAAGGGAATTAAAGGGGGGAGGAAAAAAAAGAAGCGAATGCATTTTAAGTTGGTGCAGACATTTTAAATTATTATGTTTCTGGCTGGCACGAGAGAGATACATAGACTGTGCTTATGTAGCTTATATACTAGTATAATATAATATAGGCTCGAAAGATTGCCCATCTGGACTCTATAAAACCGAGATGCAGAAAAAAAAAGAGAAAGAAGGAAAAAGCCAACAGGGTTCAAACTGCGTTTATACGACTGATTTTATTTTATCATTTTTATATTGACTTTTACTGCCGCTCACCGCCGGCACGAGTAAACGAGCTTACAGCTTCTTTATATTATTATATATACCTATACGTGCGGGCGGGAGCTGCGTTTACGAAGACGTCTGACAGACGCGCATCATGTGTTTGCGGGAAATAAAAACTTTTCAGCTCTCCTCGCGCTTCGTATAAAACTGACGCTTTTACGAGATTTACTGGCCGAGGAACTGTATACTGTAAATGCTTGACCGCGACGATCGTCTGGTTACAGGCTTTGATGTCTTTACAAGAACTTCTCGCTATTTCATGTCTTTGTTTAAGTTATACAGTCGATAACGTCATTTTTTTGAAAATTAAGCCATAATGAATGAATATTTTAAATTAATCGCGATCAATCGCATCACCACCTCGTTTTGATCAGTGGCAGAACGCACGCCTAACCATTACGAGTGAAAAGTGCTGACTTGTGCAACTGCAAACAATAACGATCAGTTCACACTTCACAGTTGTATAGTCAAAGACTATATATTCTGTAGTGATATCGTCTTTGATACATAACCAACATTTTGCACGTAAAAAAAGTCTCAAGAAGATAATTAATCATTCGAAAGTATAAAATGTCGAGTAGCAATAAAGTAACGTGCTATACGGACATTGATACAGATAAATGCGATTTTACGTGGGTAATTGATAATGTTGCATTGATTTGGAACAATGGAGCTCGTACAATATTATCACCTGTGTTCAATGTCGGATCAGATGATGAAAAACAGTTTAAATTAAAATTATATGCAAATACAAAGATGGTTAAAGGTGTAAACCATGCAATTTTAATTATAATTTGCGAAAAGAGCCCTCACCGATTGTCATTTGAGTGCAAGCTATCAGTTAGTAAGGATAACATAATTGCTTACAACAAGAACAGTATTTCTGTAATAAGTGATGGATTTGGGAGTGAACTATTTGCAATTCCCATTGAAGATATGAACAAACTCATTTCATCCGCCAGTACTGTAATTTTTCGCTGCGAATTATCATTTTCAAAAGGAGCACAAAAGGATTTGCTTAGCTACGAATTCGACGATGCGAATGAAGTACCAAAACTGAAGTTCGATTCGGCGCTTTTCAACGAAAATTTGAGCGATGTGAAGCTACGAACTGCATGTGGCAAAGAGATCCCAGCCCATAGGATCGTACTCGCCGCTGCAAGTTCGGTATTTCAAGCTATGTTTAGCCATGATATGCTAGAGAACCAAAGCCAATCAGTTGATATGATCGATATCAGTTACGAAGCTGCAGTTGAGATGTTGAGATACATCTACACAGGTAGTGTTGAGACTGAAGAATTATCCGCGATTGCTGACCTGTTGGCAGCCGCCGACAAGTATCAACTTGAAGGGTTGAAACATAAGTGCGAGAAAATATTAGTCTCCAAATTGACGGCTGGAAATTGTGTGGAAATTCTCATAATCGCTGATAAATATAGCGCGAGCAGTTTGAAAAAGAAAGTAATTGATTTTATAAAACTGCGTATCAACGTACACTTGGACTCGGATGATATAGGTGATATGATTCTCAATGGATCGGTTTCTATCAAAATGACCTAAATATTAATGATGTGTATAATTTTTCATTGTTTAATTTGCTCAAAAATATTATGTCACCATTGAATATGTGATAAAAATAAAATTTAATACAATCAAAATTTACTTCATCAGTCCCTCGCATCATTTAATTTCATTACAATTTTAAACCATTTAATTTTATGCATTTCATTGATTTGAAAACGTCGGATGAGTCTCTTGAAGGTTACACGAGTGCAAATGAGTAAGTATGTGTTTTTACTGAGAATAATTGGAATGCGATAAAAAAATTCAGACTTGAATTCGTGTTGTTTAACGAACGATAAACATATTCTTTTTTTCTTTCGCGTGAAATGAACTAAACTTGAAATTATATATACCCAAAATATATATTAATTGATTCTTTTTACTTAAAAAATGAATGTTCATTGAGAGAATGACCAAAAAACCATTTATCCCTGTAGCATTTATTTTACCTACGATTAAAGATAACAGTTTCTTCATACTATCCGAATTACATAATAAAGAGTTTTTTTGCAATGATTAATCAAGAGTTATGCTTTCTTCAGAGCGACTCACATGAGGCACTGAGAGGTTTTAAAGAATTTTCATTAATATTTCTGTCGTTGACTCAATTGCATGCGTGTTAATATAGATCATTCGATATTATAGAAAACTGTAAATAACCGCCGCAAAGAATCAACACACATTAGCACACACATTCAAGAAGAAGGCATTCCATGCCTTTATTTAAGTCAAACAAAACCCAAGCACGATTTCTCTGAATCGACCACGTAATTTCCCGAATTCTACGCTCAGCGACACTCGAGAGTTGCGACTACACCACCGAGGCTCGCGAGCGGCGTGTATACGTATCGTAGACGAGTAGTGAAAATAAAGGGTTCTTTCGATCATATTTGGAACGCGTATGCGAGTAGAGCGACAGACGGCATACGAGTCTTGACTTTTGCAACGGTCAGTCGAAGTTAGCAGTTTGGCACGGCCACACATTATTATTTTCAAAGCTATCTCTCGGAACAAAATGTCGGGCGACAATCAAGCAACGTACTACACGTGCACTGACAAAGAATATTATGAATTTAAGTGGATTATAAGTGATTATTCGTTGATTTTTACATAAGTAACTGGAATAGATTCACACATTTTTACTGTAGGTAGTGATGAAGAAAAAAAGTTTCAATTGAAATTGTGTACTAGCAATGTTGTTGTTTCTGGTTACAATAAACCCTCCAGATGTTTGTCTCTACACGTTGCGGAAATGGCGGGACAATTACTAGTGAAATACAAGCTATCAGTGATGAAGGATGAAAAAATAGTTGATACTCGAATTGGTCATTCGACATGTCAAAAAAGCACAGTGATAAATATGTTAAACATTCAAATTGACGAAATGAATAAGTTCGTTTCATCTACAGATTCGATAATTTTTCACTGTGAATTAACAGTCTCTAAGGGAAGTATAATAAATTCCTTGAACGATGAAAATGCCAAGATGAATCAAGTGTTGAAACTGAACTTTGACTGGATATTTCTTGACGAAGATTTGAGCGATATCAAGCTGGAAACTGCATGTGGAAAGGAAATCCCAGCCCATAGAGTCGTGCTAGCTGCTGCGAGTCCAGTGTTTAAAGCAATGTTCACTCACGATATGTTGGAAAAGAAAAGTCAGTCGATTGGGATAGATGTCAATTACGAGGCCTGCAGTCGAGATGCTGAGATACTTCTACACAGGTACTATTGAAAGTCGCGAAATTTCCTTGATCATTGATCTTTTGCTGACGGCTGACAAATATCAAGTAGACGAGTTGAAAATTGAATGCGAGAAAATTTTGAAATCCAAGATATCATCTGAAAGCGCTATAGATATTTTACAAGTTGCCGACAAATGTCAAATGAAATGTTTGAAGAAAAACGCGGTTGATTTTATAAAGCAGCATATCAGCGTCTCTTCAGACTCTGATGATGTGGGTGACATGATTCTCAGTATGGAACGCCTTTTTTCAAAATAATCGAAAAATTTACATAAAAAATATGTTTCCATTTTACTTGAAATTGTTTGTTGATCATATTATGTTAAAAACATTGTTGTGTTTGTCCTGAAAATGAAAATTTTTCTACGGAATTTATTGAACCCAACCGTCACATTATTAAATTCATCACAACAAACGAATGATATTTTGATTTTCTTTATTTTTCCGAGATTTCCGCTTTAGACTTGGGAAAATAGTACCTAAATTTCGTCAGCCATCTCCTATCATATAGTCAAGTTCTCGGTGGCAAGATTCATACAGAACAGTTGTGAAAGAAATCTTCAGCGTATAAAGAAAGAACCGAATCTTTTCAAGTTATTTACTCAAAATAAAATGTCGAGTATTAAAAAATTAACATACCATACATCCATTGAAAAAGAATCTTGCAATTTCAAATGGGTAATAAGTGATTACTCATTAGTTTTTAAAAAAGTAACTGAAATAGAATCCCACATTTTTTCCATTGGCAGTGATGATATTAACAAGTTTCAATTTAAATTACACAATTACCCTGTGGACTTGTGTCGTGTCTCTAGATGCTTATGCCTACACGTTGTAGAAATGAGTGAACAATTATTAGTAAAACCCCAAGTATCAGTTATAATGGATGGAAAAATGATCAATCTTACTCGAACTAATTATAGAATGTGTCAAAAAGGAAAAATGATAGAAATAACAAACAATTTGGACTCAAAAGTTTCATCTACAGATACCTTAATAATTGTATGTGAATTATCAGTTTACAGTTCTTCAGAAAATATAATACATTCATTGAATAATAAACCCATCCTAATGAATCTAGCATTAACACAAAACTTGAAATTCGCCTGGATATTTTTGAATGAAATTTTGAGTGATGTTCAACTAAGAACTACAGGTGGAAAAGAAATTCCAGTGCATAAAATTGTACTCGCTAATGCTAGTCCAGTATTTAAAGCCATATTCAGTCATAATATGTTAGAGAACCAAACCTGATCAGTTGATATAATTGATATTACTTATGAAACAACAATTGCAATGCTGCGATACATCTACACAGGTAGCATTGAGACCCAAGAATTTTCCTTGGCTATTGAACTTTTGGCCGCTGCTGACAAGTATGAACTTGAAGAATTGAAAAATAAATGTGAAAAAATATTCAATTCAAAGTTATCGTCTGAATATGCTGTAGATATTTTAAAAGTTGCTAATAAATATGGCATGAAAAATTTGAAAAAAAATGCAGTTGATTTTATAAAACAGCATATCAGCCTATCTTCAGACTCAGATAATGTGGGTGATATGATTCTTAGTATGGAACAACTTTTTTCAAAATAATCTGGAAACTTGCATTTATTCCTTTTTGTATTTTTTTGTAATTTGCGTTTTATGTACTTCAACTTAATTTAAGGTCACTATTGTATAACTTATAAAATAAAAATTATTCATCGATATTTACCCCATCATTCTCACTATTCTATTCTTTATCACTTATTATTGACACAAGAAAGCCAGGATTACCTCATTTCTTTGAAAATTATTGAAATTTGACTTTACTAATTAAATGCCTGAATGCTTTGACAAATTGTAATTACTATTTTTATTGTGAAATGACTGAACTCGAAATTAAATGGTACCCAAAAATAGTATAGTTCAAAAAACTGAGCCAAAAAAATAAATGTTCATTGAGACACCAATCAAAATCCATTAACTAATTTTTGAATTATTTATTTCATTTTTCTTATAAAACAAGAATTGCTTTGCATTTGACGAATAACGTAATAAAAGTCGTGTTATAACGTATTCATGCTTTTTAAAGATCTCGACTCATACAGAATTCAAGATTTCGGCTTATACTGAGAAGCTTTAAAAAAAAATTATATTTTCTTCGCTGTTCCTACCCAATGCGTGTAGAGTGCCAATTACCACGCCATTTGAGAACTTCGACGTTTTCAATATAACGTGGACATCCATGGCTTAGAACCATTCTACTTTGTGATTAAATCAAATTTTATACGTATTCTATGTTCGTAAAAGTTCAACGATCGAGAGAAAAAAAAAGTAAGCCATAAGAAACAATAGACGAGAGATCGACAACTTGATTCTGTAAATCGAATAACAAAAATTGTTGCTGCTGCAAGTAACTATTTTATCTCTGCATAAAATGAACTAAGTCGTGATTATGTACCTGCATATAATCACCTTTCAAAATCATATACGAAATAAAAAAAAAGTTTAATGGTGCAAAGACTTAAAAGAACAATGCATTAAATGTTACAAGAATAAATTAATATTATTTAAAGACGATATTGACTTAAATTCGACGTGATAAGAAGTATACGTCATTTTTACGATTATCGCCTAGATACTGATGATTTTGCAAAAGACAATACACGATTAAGTACCGAAGAGCTTAAAACAGCTAAAGTCGTTCGATAGCGTCTGCAACTATTCTTGTCAAACAATCGGCTCATTTACTTTTGGAGAAAAAAGATGTTATAAGAGTTTTTCGCGTCTTTATTCAAGTTACGTTATGTAAAATTTAATTTTTCTAAATAATATCGAAGAAAGGCGAAGGGTCACTTTGAATCGATCATATTTTCCCATGTTATTTGCTAAACGGCGATCACGGCGCCACGCTCGAGATGGTCGCTACACCGACAACTTGGCTAAAACAAAGGATGATCAGTTTAAGAACACATACGAATGTTCACTCGTGCAGCAGACTCTCTTCAGTCGTACGCAGTAGTGTACATTGTCGTGGCAACATACAGTCTACTTGTGCGTGTGCTAAAAGTGCGAGCTTAAAAGACCACTAAACTCTAACAAGATTTTCCGCACATAAAAAAATGTCAAGTTTCAATAAAGCCACTTGCTATTCACACACGAGTAAAGATTACTGCGATTTCAAGTGGGTAATAAGTGATTACACATTAATTTTCACTAAAGAAACACAAATAAAATCGCCCATATTTAATGTCGGTAGTGATCTAAAGAAATTTCAATTGCAATTGAATACTGGTACTATGTATGTTGATAGATATAGCAATGCTACTTCAAGAATTTTATATCTTCAACCCATCAAAACGGAAGAAGAATCAAATGAGAAATACAATCTAGCAGTAAAATATCATCTATCAGTGATTAAGGATGGAGAAATTGTTCACACCCGAATGGACTATTGGAATTTCTCAGCTGGCGGAAGAAAGACGTTACTTGAAATCAAGGTAAACGAAATGAAGAATTATGTTTCATCTACAGATAGCATAATTTTTCATTTAGAATTAACAGTTTCCTCGGGAAATGTAATAGACTCATTAAATAATGAACCGATTAAGATGGACCAAGTGTTAACATCAAAACTAAAATTTGATTGGGCATTTCGTGATAAAAAATTCTGTGATGTCGTGTTAAATGCATCTGGTAAAGCAATGGCAGCTAATAGACTCATGCTCGCTGCTGCCAGTCCAGTGTTCAAGGCCATGTTCAGCCATGATATGCAGGAAAAGAAATGCCTATTAATTGATTTGAAGGATGTTAATTACGAAGCTTTGGATAAGATGCTGCGATACATCTACACTGGGATAGTAGAAGAACACGGAATTTCCTTAACTATTGATCTTTTAGTATTAGCTGACAAGTATCAAATAGATGAGTTGAAAACTGAGTGTGAGAAAATATTAAGCTCCAAGTTGTCATCTAAAAATGTTTTAGATATTTTAAAAGTTGCCGATAAATGTAGCATGAAAAGCTTGAAAAAAAACGCAGTTGATTTTATAAAACATCATATCGGCGCTTCTTCAGACTCTGATGATGTAGGTAATATGATCCTCAGTATGGAATTACTTAATTCGACATAACTTGCAAACTTACGTGAATAAATTTTAATGAATTAATTTTTTTTACTTCAACTTAATAATATAAAAATGTTATTATTTTCCTTCTGATCACAATAAAAACTCAATAAACAATAACAGTTTACTTCACTCATCTGTTTCAATATTCATTTCATTACAATATATAGAATGCCTCAATTCCTTGAAAAACATGTGCTTATGATTGTTTTAGCAGTACACGCTTTCATACATATTCTTCATACGCTTTCATACAATTGATCATAATAATAACAACAGACGTAAAGGCTCGCAAAAATTAACTGTGCCAGTCGAACGCTAAAAGTATTTGTTTCAGATGATAAAAACTTCTCTCTTTATTTCTACATAAAACGAACTTGACTTATAAAAAAAAGATTATTCACACTTAATGATAAAAATAAATTTTTGTTCACGATATTGATCGTAGGCATCAATTCATTCCTCCATAATTTTATTAATTTTTCATTAAAAACTCAATTTCTTTGCATTAGACGTACACAACCAACCGCGTAATTAAGTTAATATTTACGACGATCGTCTAGGTATGGATGTTTTTTCAAGATTCACTCACATCGAAGTACCGTGAAGAAATTAAAAAATTTTTTCAACATCTTTTTGCCGTGGTTATAAGGTCGACTGAGCGGTCAACAGCCGAAGTCGTTCGATATTATAGGCGTCCGTGAATATTCGTGGCCAACAACGAGCTAATTTACTTTTTAGAGGAAAAAATATATTACAAGAATATTTCACGTCTTCGTTCAAGTTACGTCGTGTAAAATTTAATTTTTCTAAATAATATCGAAGAAAAGCGAAGGATCACTTTGAATTGATCGTGTGGTTTCAAGAGTAATTCGCCGAACAGCAATCGCGACGCCACACGCTCGAAACAGTCGATACACGCCGACAGTTAAGTAATACAAAGGGTCGAGTAAGATCGCTTTTAGAACGCACACGCACGTAGCGCGTCCGAGTCCTGGCTCGTGCAACGGTCATTCCTCAGTTGTACGCGGTACATTGTCGTGGCAACAGATCGTTCAAAATCTCGTGCGCGTGATAAAAGTCCCAAACGATCGAATATACCACAAAGCTTCAGCACGTATTTTCTAAATTAAAAAATGGCAAACTTCAATAAAGCCACTTGCTTCTCACATACGAAAAAAGATTACTGCGATTTTAAGTGGGTAATAAGTGATTACATGTTGGTTTTTGCAAGACAAGATAGATTAGAATCACCTGTAATAAGTGTCGGTCGTGATAATACACATCAGTTTGAATTGAGGTTGAGTTGTACCTATAAGAACTATGGAACCTGTAGAAGATTAATTCTTTTCGTCCTAAGAAAGCCTGAAGAAAAATCATCAGTAAAGTTCAACTTATCAGTGATAAAAGATGGAAAAATTGTTGATACCCGCATTGATTATGCGAATTGTTCTCCCTCATTGATACCTATATTAGAAATTCCGACAGATGAAATGAAGAAGTTCGTTTCATCTACAGATACCTTAATTTTTCACATCGAATTGACAGTTTCCACCGGAGATGTAATATACTCAATAAATAAGGAATCCATCAAGACAGATTTTACACCAAAACTAAAATTCGATTGGGTGTTCAATAATAGAAAATTCTGTGATGCCGTGCTAAATACATCAGGCTCGAATATTCCAGCTCATAGACTCATGCTCGCCACTGCCAGTCCTGTATTCAGGGCCTTATTTAGTCAAGATGATACGTTTCTAAACAAAATTGAAATAGTCAATATGAAGGATGTTAGCTACGAAACAGCGGAAGAAATGTTGCGATTTATCTATACAGGTACTATTGAAAGTCACGAAATAACCTTGATTATTGATCTTTTGGTGACCGCTGTCAAGTATCAACTCGAAGAGTTGAAAAACGAGTGCGAGAGAATATTGAGCTCACTGTTGTCCCCTGAAAATGCTGTGGATATTATAAATGTTGCCGATAAATGTAACATGATAAGTTTGAAAAAGAATGCAGCTGATTTTCTAAAATACAATATCAGCGTAACTTCAAACTCTAATTGTTTGGGTAATATGATTCTCAGTATGGGACGGCTTCATTCGAAATAATTTAAAATCCTACATAAATAAATTTTGATGTTTTAATTTCATATGTATTCCTTTAATTTTGTGTACTTCAACTTGAAACAATAAAATTATTGTATTGTATCACAATAAAAACTTCTCATCTAAACTTACTTAACCCATTCATTTTAACATTCCATTCCTTATTATTTACTTGATTAATGACTTGATAAACTCAGGAATGCCTCAAATTCCGTTGTAATTATGCCTATGAACGTGTAAGTATGCATTTTATACAAAGAACAATATGCAACGTGATAAGTAGCTAGACGTTAGCTCGTGAAAGTGAACAAATATTTGTTGTAGCTAATAATCTGACTTTTATCTTCACTATCAAACGAACTTGACTCGCAATTCTATTGCGGTAGAAAAAATTAGGATATTTCTTACCTAATGCTACAAATAAAAGTTTTTTGAGTCGTGGATCGCATACCTTTATGATTTTCTGTATCATTCTATTTTTGTTCATTATTCAATCGTCATAACCGTTTTATTTTTCATTAAAAACGTAATTTCTCTATACCACCAGACGTACCGCCGACTGCGTAATAAAGTTCGTGTTTAGATATCGAAGTACCGCGAAGAACTTTAAACATTTTTTAATATCTTTTTCGCTTCGTCGTATTTCTGTATCATCGGGGCCTGTAATACTTCGTCCGCGGCACGGCTTAATGCAATTTTGGGCTCCCCCCATCTGCTGCTCTCATGCTCGTCGTCGGGCTCGGTCGTCGGAAAAATCGTCCCCTCTGTACATTCGACTTATATGCGTATAAGCGAGACTTTCGTGCTCACCGCGAGGACAAAGAAGAGGATGATATATAACATCACTGCTCGAGTACTCGGAGCTCCTCCCTCGGTAAGGCCTGTCTGTATGCGCGAGGAGTCGAAATATTATATACGTATACGCAACGAATAACTGATATCCTATCGTACAAGAATTTCGTTGTCGTGTAACGCCGTATATACGATAGAAATTTGCACGATTATCTACGTATTATGTTTCGTACATGTTTAAGTAAAAAATTTAGGATTAATTTTTCGAGTATTTGATGCAAAAGAAATGAACTTCTGACAAGTCTGCTTTAACAACAGTTCATTTGTCGACTGTTGTAATTTCCTTAACTTGTACATGGAGTCAATCAATATATCAAGTGAAATTGCGATTAAACCATATGATGTTTTCATTACATTTATAGTTTATTTCAAACGCTAGTCAGTGCAAAGTTTATCTCACTTAATCGTTTGACAATGAATTTACAAAAGATCGGTACGTACTGAAATGCAGCTACACCACTTGGTATTATTATTTATTACGATATCGTCTACAAACTTTTTACTCAATTTTCGCATCAATAAGAATTAATATCCCACCTTGTGCTATATAATATAATATACATGAGCCATATGAATTCCCCTAACGATTTTTGCTCCATTTAAAAAAAAAAAGATAAACTTTCTTATAAGCTAATTTCTAAAAAAAATTTCAGAACTTTGTACAATGTGTACTATGAAAAATAATAATTTTTTATAGCGAACGAACGATTACTTGGAATCTATTGCCGCTTAGCTGAGCTAAGCTCTCACGGCGACACTTGAGCCTTACAGACCGCTGGTTCAAACAAAGAGTTTTTATTTTTTTTGTGTTTTAGAACGACCTGCTGGTGTGGCTATACGAGTCTTGGCATGTGCAAAGCTCAGTCGTAGTCATCACTTCGGCGTGGCTACACGTTAAAATATCTCAAGTCTAAAAGTTTGTGCGTACAGTGAAAGTGATTTGAAAGTAAACTGTTAACTTCTTCGAGATTGTCCTACGTAATATTTTTTTATCAATAAAAATGGCACGTGCTAATAATTATACAGGCTACGAGCAAAATGTTAAAGAGAGCTGTGCTTTCGCGTGGACGATTAAAAATAATGATTTTAATAAACGTGGATATTTAGAATCGCCAATATTCGGTACCGAGATCAGTGATAAACAATTTTATTTGACATTGATCCCTGCGATACCGGTTGATGAAACGGGCACTTGTTTGAACATCAAGACCAAAAGTTTATATTTATGCAGCAAAAACATAGCTAAAACATTATTGTGCAAGTATAAGTTAAATATTTTTGTCGATGAACAAAATGTTCATTCAAGCGAGGATTACATCATCATCGACGAGAATAAGTATCCAATAATTTTACCGTCCGCCATTAATAAATACAACGACGTTTTTTCACGAGGACGAAAAATAATTATCGAATGTGCATTGACATTGTCCAAAGGAAATCTAATGTCTTTTTTAGACTCTGAATCTACGATCAGCAAAAAGATACCTAAACCAAACTTCGGCTGGATATTTCTCGATGAAAAATTTAGCGATATTGTGCTACAAACTGCAGGTGGAAAAGTAATTCATGCTCACAGGCTAGTGCTCGCTACAGCCAGTCCAGTATTCAAAGACATGATGAGCAACGTCGAACAAAACCAATCGATTAACATGATGGATATCAGTTATGAAGTTGCAGTGGAAATGCTACGATACATCTACACAGGTGACGTTGAAAGTGGTGAAATTTCTTTGACTATTGAGCTTTTGTCAGCCGCTGACAAGTATCAACTAGAACATTTGAAAAATAAGTGTGAACGAACATTAGGCTCCAATTTATCGACAGGAAATGCCGTTCTGATTCACGAGATAGCCGTGAGATGCAATATGGATTGTTTGAAACAAAAAGCAGCTGATTATATCAAATTAAAAATTAAAAAACTTTAAGACTCCGATGAAATTGTAACGCACTGCTCAGTATGAAATTTCATTACTTTGAAATTAATTTTTTTAATATTTTTTCATTTTAATCATACATGTAAATTCACTGTTCGACTAAAAATCATAATGTTACTTTTTCATTTCTGATTAAAATAAAAATGTCAATTCATATTGAAAATGTCAATTTATCTCGAAATTTATCTAACCCTTTCATATGCAGTATACAACAAGTTGATAAAAAAAAATATGACAATATCTCGCGAAAAAATGTCCATTCATACGCAGTATAAAGACTTGATTAAAAAAAACTTACATCATTTGACGAAATATGCTTCTCCATCGAGTAACGTACCCTTTTTTTCGAAGCACTGGGGAGCTTTAAATATTTTGCTATATTAGTATCTCTCTCTCACCCTTGCTGTCTACACACACAAGATTTCCGCAAGCGAGGACAAAGGAGCGAAGGAGTTCCGACGGGCCCTCCCTCGGCTAAAGTACTGCGAATATGCATATATTCGAAGTCGGAAGTATGCGTATACATAACGAATAACTGATATATCCCATCGCAACCTTACGTGATACAAGATTGGAATTCACGAGATCATCCTGGGCCGCGGCGCGTCTGGTATTTAACGACCGTGCAAAACTTGATAAGAACCGAGCCAGGGTATATATTATAAGCCTGTCTCTTTTTCTATTTCTCTCGCTCGAGCTATATCTCCTCGTATCGTATTCTGCATTTTTTTCTTTTTTATTTTTTCATCAGCCAAAGGTCGCGTCGCGTGCAATATAGATCGCGAGCGCATATATATTGATTTCTGATATTCGTTTGCCTAACTAAAAGCGCGCTTTTTTGCCGCGTGAATATTTATAAAGGCGAGATGATGCAAGCGCGCGCGCCAAATCGATACAAAGCAAATAAAAGTTTTGTTCGACGCTCGCATGAAAAGATATCCCATTTCGATTCGGGATTTTTCTTTTATTTTATATACGCGTATGTGTGTGTGTATGTATACTTTGTACGCGCGTTCGCGCACTTGACACGTGTTATTACACTTTAATGGAAGTAGAGAGCGTACGAGCGATCTCCGGTGAACATTTTTCGCGAGAACAGAAATATAAGCTTTGATCTGACAAAAAATTTAGAGGATTTATAAGCTTTCCACGATTCATCCGTAGTTTCCCATTGAAGCAATTAAAACAATAAAGAAATCGATGAAAACTGAGGCACGCGTTGTACGAACGTCTCTGCACCAAAAAAAAAAAATGAAAATAAAATTCCCGCAGCAGTTATGAAGTGCCAAGTGTCAGCTAAAAATTCGTCATTCGTATAAAGAAATGGAGGTATAGTATATAAGGTATAGTATATATATATTGAAAATGTCTCGCGGCAGTTAAAGAGCTATATAGAGCCATCAGTGTCAAGAGTTACGCCGCAGCCGCTGCGTCTTCGAGCGTAATACACAGCACGGCGTCGGAGTTCCGTACACAGGAATGGAATAAAAAAAAAAAGTAGAAGTAGGTAGGTAGGTAGTGGAAGAAGCAGAAGGCAGAAGGGAGGATGAAAAGAACCTCGAGGAGTGTACGTGTATGTGTGTGTGTGTGCGTGGCTTTCAACATAGTTGCATTCGGCCTGGGCTCGTCAAAGCCGTGGCGCGCGCGCGAGCTTGCACACGTGCTATATACAGATATATACCTTGGGCATGTTCTACTCTAGCCGCGGCATCGATCCCGTGCCGTGGTACATAAGGACACTGTATATAATATATAAAACGCGGGTTTATAACCGCGTCTCTCATTCCATTTGAGCCTCTTTATCCCCCTCTCTCAGCCCTCAGCTGAATCTCTCTCTCTCTCTCTCTCTCTCTCTCTCTCTCTCTGTTGGTCTCTTACGTGTGCAGCGCGTGTACGCGCATATTTTCCACTGTAGTAGGCGCAATTTAACTGCTGAGAGAGAGAAGAAACGCAGACGTAGGGAGAACGAGAGGAGAAGAGTAGACTGAGAGAAAATTCGACGCATTTCGCATTTTTAAAACGCTCTAAGTACCTGACATTTTCAATATTTCGAGACGACGACGACGTGCTGCTGCTGCTGCTGCACCGCCACCGCTGCCGCATTGTTGCCGTTGTTGTTGTCGCGAGAAAAAAGAGAAAAAAAAATCCTGTATATACTACTTTTGTGGAAAACTTCCCGGCGTGTGTATAGTAGCGCACAGTGTGCTATATAAATGCACATAATTGTTGGGAAAAAGTTGTTGCGAAGATTTTCAAAACTATCTAACGTCGACTATATATAGTACATATTATACATACACCGGCGAATCCGATATAGTTTATAAAACAACGTCGAGCCGTCTTTCCTTCTCTATACATGCATATCCCTATATCTCGCTTCTGCCGCATGCCAAGTCGTCGTTTTACATGAATAAATTTTCATACAATTTAATGCGCTGCACTTTAGGATCGTACGGGTGTATATAGCTAACTAGCTACGCGTGCACACGACGCGCGTACAAGCCCGTATATACGAAACAAGTTTCTTAACTTCTCGTTTCCCGTCTGAAAAGTGTCTGCATATTGTAATTCGCCGATGTCTATTATCCGCGTGTCGGCGGCTATCTCGCGCTTAATACATATTACGTATACGCGGACGAGCGGAATTGGCCGTGTGTATCTCCGTTCTCTTCTGCCACTCGAAAAGCTCCTGTCGTATATATATAATAGCGTTTTATTTGCCGTACCGTACGTCACGCCGTATTCGCGAGAATTGGAACGAAACAATATAGCAAGAGTAGCAAGATGAGAGAGCTTTAATGCGCTTATATCGCGTACGCGATGCTTTTACGGTATTGAATTGCTCGGAGATATGAGTGACGAAAATCGATATAGCCGCACGCGGACTGCAACAGATGCACCAAGCACCAGCAGAAGCAGCAGCTATGATACATGCGTGCGCGTTACGTGTATTAAGCCGTTTGTGACGTCACTCTTAGCAGCAGTAGTATAGTGGTACAGTATTTGAATTCGCGAGCGAAGGTCAAAATTTACATCCGAGTAATTCCGTTTCTGACGCGCGAGCTTTGTGTCGGCTTTGTCCTGTTATATGCGCGTATACACACTGCCTGGCGTTCGAAATGAAAAAAAAGAAAAAAAATTCGCTACCGTACAGACGCAGTATAGGTGATTCATTGCTTCCTATTTTTGCAACAACAACGAAAGAAAAAAAAGGAAAAACGAAAGAAATAAAGCCGCTACGAGCGAAGGATATAAACATGTAGCGCGCGATTCTTTTCGTGCTGGATACACGCGCGGAGGTTTTTAAAAGGAGAGAGAAAGGACCACCACCGCGGGAATAACATAATTTAACGCGAGCGCGCTCGAGAAGGGGGGGCAGCAACACCGAAAGAGCATACGTACGTATATGTACAGTACACATCCTGCGTGATTTAGCAAAGGGTATATGTATATACGCGTTTATATAAAAGCCAAAACAAAACAAGCCTTTTCTTGGCCAAAAACAAAAGGCGACGCGCGGGCGAACTCGCCGAAAAACTTGTACGTATATAGCCTCCTGACTCGAGGTTCGTCGTTATGTCGTATATATATATATACAGAGCCTTCCACTACTACCTGACAGTTGGCAAGTACCACCAGCAGCACGTCGACGCAACTTTTCTCCCGCTATATACACCCCCCTTTTAACGGCCGAGTATTTATGCGACTTGGATATTTATATATATGTACGCGCTAGACTAGACGATGGAAACAAAAATCAAGGCCGGAGGGTATAGGAGTATATATAGAGTAGGGAAGAGATTCCTGATCGGAATTCCTCAGACGCTTCTTACTCCGGAGTATACTTGCAGGACTAGACTCGAGCGGCTAACCCTGTGTACGTACAGACATACGTGCCTTATATATACGTGTTCGCACACACATACATACACAGGGAGCGACGGAGACTCAGTCTCGGGGGCGTCAAGAAAACAATGGAGGATGTATGTATAGAGCGTACGGCACATAGCGTAGCATATATAGAGGCGCATGAGCAGCAGCTACTTTCATTAAAATTTAACCGTACTATATACGAGCAGACTTTTCAAGTGCCTTTGTCCTCGCCTCTGCTTCTCTCTCTCGGTATATATGTATGTTACGCGCGCATGTGTGTGTGCGCGAGCTCTTCGAGCTTTCTAATCACTCTCTGATCTCATATTTTTTCCACTTGTGCGCAAGCTGCTGCTGCTGCTTTTTTTCTTTCGCCCCTCGCGCCCTCTCAAGCCCGGAATCTTTCGCCTCTATCGCGTCCTATTTTTCTTTTTAATCTGACTTTTCTCTCGCTCGGTTCGGAGTATATGTGTGTGCAGCAGTAGTAGCTTTGCAGCTCGAGTTAGAGAGAGAGAGAGAGAGTATAGAAAAATACTCTCTTTCCAAAGTCGATGCATGCATGCAAGCTCTCTCTCTCTCTCTAAATAAAGAAACGGAGCTCTGCACACACACACAGAGGCAGAAAGACAGAAATCTGTATAAAAGTTTTTTTTTTTTTCATTTTACTTCGACTGTGAGTTACCGCAGCGCGCGAGCTTTCACAAAAATCTGTCGGAAAAATCCGGCACAATACACGTGTGTATATAGTATATACTCGAATCAGGTCTTTGTGTCATGGCTAATCAGAGCGAGAGATGTACATTGTACCGTATAACATAAACGTCTGTCATTTTAATAGATTCAAAAACTCACACACATACAGAGCCACATGTACACGAGAAAGACAAGCGAAAAGAAAATAAGCTCGCGTGCTGCGCCGGAAAATGACGACGGAACGAGCTCTGCTCGCGCATACATTACGTTGAATAATAAAGCGGCGAATTCATATTTGAGAGACGTATTTATGCATGTAATAAACTATTGAACGAAATGAATCTTCTGTTACGCTTATATATATCGACGCGTACAAACTTATTATTTACCTTGGCGTATTGATTCAACATCGAAACTCGCCAAGTTTT